CATATATGTGTATATCATGTAAAACGTGACTCCTTCAACTTTTAGAATGGCGATATCTCAGGAATGGTGGTTCTTAGAAAAAAAGTATAAGAACCATTTTTGTAGATAATTTTCAGGTCTATAATTTTTATCAGAACTACTTTTTCGATAAAACTTACCGTTTTCGAAAAACATCCAAAAAACCACAAATTTTGATTTTTGACTCCGAATAACTTTTTTAGCACGTATGGGATCGATGGGGACTTTTGACACATTTCTAATGGTGTACCCAAGGTCTCCACCAAAATTTAACTCTGTCGGAATTTTCGTTATTTGACCACTATTTTTATGACTAATTTGACCGGACTAAAAAGACTACGACATAAAATTTTCATAAATAAAATGTATGTAGTTATCTTTAGTATGAAATATACATTTTGGTTCTGTAGAAGACAATGGAGGATGCTCGCTCTTCTAACTCCACAACAGGCTTGGATATGTATTGTATCAGATATAAAAACTACTCTCGCCCTTTCATATAAATTAAATCATATTTATTAGTTAAATGTGTTATAATATTTTTCATATTGTGGACAGGTGTGAAACCTGTACTCCAATCAATGCAGTGGTGATTATGAATTAGCCACGTATATTGAAGGTGTGCTTCTGGTGGTAGCATTTCCATATCAAACGGTGGTTTAAATACGAAATGACAAATTTTTGATCCATCGAAACCAGCAATGGGAAGAAATCTGTTGTTTTCTAGTCGAAAGCCTTGTACATCTAATACCAATATCATTTTTATAGACAGATATTTGCAAACGCTTTTATCATTTGCTGCTTCAGACAATAAAGTTTTATTCAATATTTCAACCCTTTAAGGTTCTTCTGGTGCTTTGTAATTCGTTGCTGAAGTGTACTCATCATACTGGGTATTTAGTTATGAATTTTGATATTAATATTAAGAAAGCAGGTCATGCGTACTTTATAGTTGATGAACAATTTTAGTTATAGCTAAACAATTTATCATGTAAAATTAAACAGTATGCTGTAGTGTCAATTGATACGTTTTAGCTCGTCTCAAATACAATCCGCATAACAACAGATCCACTTTGGACAGATTCCCTTTGTCGAGAACAATCTAGTACAGGGTGTTTCAGGATTAAATCGACAAACTTTATATATTCCTCATAAAAAAAAAATAGAAAAATCAAGTATAAATTTTTTTCCAGACGCTTCATTTTTGAAATATGGGCGTTAAAGATTTTTAAAAATGAGGGGTCTAGATGCAAAACCCGCCATATCCAAATTTTTTATATATGAAACTGTGTATGCTATTAAATTCTATAGTTGTCATTCTATAAGTAATTTAAACCTTTAACATTCATATCCCGCCACATCCATTAAAAAAATAGTTTGAAAAATATTTGTTCAATTCAAAACCCGCCATTTCCTGCATGTGTTTTGTTTCAAACCCCACCGCGCCGTATCCGCACAGCCAATCAGTGAACTTATTTTAAATCATGTGATGCAGTCCGTGAAACACGCTACCGTTCGTAAGTTGACTGAGCAATGATTAGCTCACGACTGGAAAAAATCGATTTCTGGGGTCTTCAAAAGTCCTGGTAGTTGGCATTTTCAATTTAACCCAACTAAACGATTTATTACTACAAAATCGCCAAACAACAATATTTTAGTCAGAGGCGAAGTTAATTATAAATCGGATATGGGAACTGAAAAGTCCATTCTTAAAAGAGGAAAGAAGATTAATAATCTTAACCCTAACAGAGTAATCCCAGGTAGAGCAAGCGACAAGAAGAAAGCAGGAAGTGTGGCCAAATTGCTACAGAATCACTATGGGGGAAAATGGTTGGAGGAGAAAACATTGCAGTTTTACAAGAATGCTATTGAATCTGCAACAAGGGAAAGTAGCGATGAACCTCATGATGATAGTTATCAGGATGAATCCTGCTCTAGATTGGAAACTGAACACGATTTGCGGGTTTAGAGTTATATTCGATTTCTTTAAATACTTTTATACTGTGACAAACTTCCTTGGCAAATAAATTTTTTCATTGAAAATATTTTTATTTAGATTTTTAAATAGGTAAAAAAATTATAGTGATGGAAAAGTTCTCATTTTGTAAACATTACCGGTAATTTTTCCATTAGATTGAATTTTTTTGATATGGGAAAGAATGCTAAAACTTTCCTCCCAAATTGGAAAAGTTAACTTTGCCTATTCCTATAAGTATTGCGAATTATTTTTATTGCTTTCTGTTGCTAACTAGCAAAACCCGCCATCTCCAAACAATTTTATTGAATATCTATCAATAAATTGATGTCATATTTTTTATTTTAATAAAAATGTATTACATTTTGTCCCTACAAGTGCATTACATAACATTTGCATTGAATTTCCAATTTAATAGGTTGCATACAGTTTTTTGTGTTTTGCTCAAAATCGTTTAACATGGATATGGCGGGTTTTGCATCTAGGCCCCTCATTTGTCTTTGTGTGGTATTTTTATGTATTTATAGAAAAACATGGTGTATCGACATGTTAAATGCATTTGGAGTTGCATCACAAAATTTTTGAAAGAAAAACAAGCATTTCAGTATAAATACCAAAATTCTAATTTAAGTGCATTGCTCAAGAGAGGGTGATGCCTAGTGAAAATTTTGACTTGCATGTATTGTCCACAAAGCAGAAACTATAGAGAGGTAACTAGATTAGCATACAATATAGAAATTGTGCAAATAGTATTTTTTGCAAATGTATTATATGTTTATATGCTATTATTGAGATTTAACTTACTGTAACAGCAATTTAACTGATATTTTTGGCATTTCTGATAGGTCTCTTTTATATTAAAATATAAATTTATATTATTCAGTGCAGTTTAATGTTGAAGAAATGGAATACACAAAGTAGAATTTTCTAGATAACATGCTGCCACAATATTTTTTTCAATACTTGTGTTAAGTTTTCGCTTAAAAATAAATAATTCTGTAAATGTTCTATTATTAATATTTAACAACTTATAGTCTGCACAACATTTATCTTCTTGATAACGTTAATTTATTATAAGAATTGCTGAGTATTAAAAGGCACTAACTCCAAAAATCTGCTATTAAACTGCGCAGTTAAAATTACAGTAGATTAATATGACTGAGTCGTGAAAGGAATTAAGTCCTGGAGTTAGTTCCTTTTACGACACAACACACGAGAGCGTGTTGTCAGTAGAGCCCTATGGCTATGGTAATGTTCCGCGGCAACAAAAACAATATTTTGCTCCAGCCTCATTCATCGAGTTTAAATATCTTCAAAATGACAACTTGGAAGCTGCAGAATTTATATGAGGCTTAGTAAAGCACACTTTTCGTTTGAGACAATCAGGGCCTAGACCAGTCTTAGTATCTGATGCTTTGTCCGGTGCTTACCCCGAAGGAAAAGTGCCTATAAATAAGCATAAAGTCGATGCTGTCAAGAAGTTATTGAAATATATCTCAGAACCAAATGNTAAATTATAAAAAAAATTAATACGGCCCTACTGAAAATAAAAAATGATGCTATTTTTAGATAGAACAGTTTGTTATTGACAAAAAGTGTACATTCACTTTTTTTCCTAACTTTTATAGTTTCATGGCAAAATTGATTTTTCGGAAGGGTGCTTCTGGATTCTGTCGATAAACTTTAAATAAACCAAGCAGAGAATGATGATCAGTTTACGCAAAAAGTAATGTGGACAGATGATGTTGGTTTCAACTAGATGGTTGTCCTGCCCATTTTAGGTGAGGTCCTAGGGAGTGGTTAAACATTAATTATCCCAGGAGATGGATTGGTCGTGGAGGACCTGCAGCGTGGCCCGCACGTTCACTGGACTTGACACTGATGGATTATTTCGTTTGGGGTGCTGTTAAACAAAAAGTCTTACGAGGTGGGAGTTGATACCCTAGAAGATCTAAGACAGCGAATAGTTCAAGCGTGTCGAGAATTAACTCCAATTCAGTGTCGATCGGCAACTACCTTCATAATTAAAAGATGTCGTGCTTGTCTACAGTTCGGCGGCGCTCATTTTGAACAAAATATTTTTAAAATCATTTCATTTTTTATTCACTTTTCGCTTTGTCTAGGTATAATATTAATTGGTAATTTTTGTGTTGTTTCAATTTACAAATAAATTTTCATGTATTGTTTGCCATCTTATTTTATTTAAAAGTACACAACAGAAGTAAATGAAGTGACTACAAACCGCCTGAAAAAATTTAGGAGTATTGCAAGGGTCGTTACGTTGTCGCATTACGACATAGTCACATTAGATGTTAGGTACTTAAATATTTCTATTGTTTTCATCATTTTTTTTTTTAAAAAAAAACACCCTATATCTCAAAAACGAAGCATCTCCTAAATAATTTTAATACTATTGGTTAAACCCAAGGGAAGGGGAGACAAAAAGGCTTATTTGACTCACACATACTCGAGACTAAGACCAATTTTAATAGGTACTATATTTTTTTAGGTTTTATGAGGAACGTCTTCCTAAAGTTTATCGACAGAATCCAGAAGCACCCTTCCGAAAAATCAATTTTGCCATGAAACTATAAGAGTTAGGAAAAAAGTGAATGTACACTTTTTGTCAATAACAAACTGTTCTTTCTAAAAACAGCATCATTTTTTATTTTCAGTAGGGCCGTATTAATTTTTTTTATAATTTTTAATGAGTCTGAGTCCCCATAACTCCGCCACTGGTTGCTTGCGGGACTTCTATTTCTATGAAAAAATGGTATCTATAAGAAGATGTGCCATGCCAAATTTGGCTTAAATAGCCTTCTTCATTTAGAAGTTATTTAAAAAATTCGATTTTTTTAAATTTTTAACGCCCTATATTTCGAAAATAAAACGTCTCTGGAAAAAAATGTATACCTGATTTTTTTATTATTTGTTTATGAGAAATATCTCCTTAAAGTTTGTCGACTTAATCCTGAAACACCCTGTATATGTACAATCGGACAAATAGTTAAATATTCTTCAGGTGCATAAACAGGTTCTTTTTTTGTCTCGTAGTTAAGACTTGACGAAAATTTGAAAACATCTCATATAGAGAAGCAAACTTTTTAGCCTTGAGGTTTAAATAAAGATCTTGATACGGATATCTTTCACTATTTAAAAATACTCGAATATTAGTTAAATCAATATTATCAAACCAACTCATATCACTTGTAATTTTTTGTTTTTTATCATGCTGAAATGCGACGATTACATGTCTGGGTGTTTCAAGCTTATTACTAGTTTTTACGGACCATGAGTGTTGGGTCGTCTCACTTAAAGATGGATATTCAATCAGTTCCCAAGAGCGAAAACCAAGAATAATATCTGTATTTTTCTCTACTATTTTTGTGAGTGCCAGTTGTTGAGGAATGTCAACCGAAACATGTGGAACCCTCCAAAAAATTTTATTAATTGTAATTTTAGGTTTTTCAGTATCATCTTTACTGGTAATAGCTTCTAAGTCGTTACTAGAACGTATCAAAACTAGCTCTTGTTTCATATTAATAATAATTTTTGTATAGTCTTCAAAAAAACCCATTAACACGCTAAGTGGAATACAAACGTTGAAATTTCCATCATCGTCTGTAATTTTTTCTCCGCCTTTATGTACTCTTGGAAACCATCCAGCATTATTAAGCTTAACACTTTCATTATCGCTATATGAGAGGTAAGCTTTAAGTGTTGATGTTAATCCTACGTTTCTGTTGGTGTCGATCGTGACGCCGTTTAATTCATATCGAATTTCTCTGAACAAGAAAGCGATACCATTATTAATAAATTTTAATTTTGTTGCTTTAGTTCCATCGTCTTTTGTTAATTTTCCTTCGATATATAAATGACTTTCACCAGGCAGTGTATACAGGTCTACTTCTTGAATAGGAATTCTGATTTCATCATTATATTCAAATGATCCGGACACAGATGGCTGATAACTGTGTAATTCAAGGTTTGTTATTGAGTTGTCAACATAGGGCTTTGATATCACATTTAAAATATCCATTATATTAGTAATTGGAAACCAAGGGATTGTAGAAATTTTTTATTCTTAGATGTTACTTTGGTAACGTTCTTATCTGCACTAATTGAAGATCTGGTTTTGGGCATCCTTTTATAATTACGTCTGATCAGCATACTAGGAATATT